GTGACAAATCACACAAAAAATGTTCACAATAAATGTATTGTTATTTCAACATACAGGTCTATTTTAGGCTCAACTTGTATATTTTCATAGTTTCTCACTTTAACTGGGTTAGTTTAACTAATCTTGATTAACTTGTTGAATACACCAACATGCAGGTTTAAATTAGTCTTTTTGTTGCAATTAAATTAGTTTTTCTTCATTTGTAATAATTTCTTTGTGTTTGTTTTTCTAAAATGTGATTTTTTATGCTCAACTACAAAAATGTGATTTTTTTAGCTTGTGTCAGTTTTTTTCTAAATAAATTCTGACAAATAAACGAAGATGAACGCATCAGTGTGCCTTTCTTTCACATCGAAGGAAACTTTCGTGTTTGAAACATGGAGTTTATGGACGCCACGACCCCATTTCAGCAACAGCAATAAGAAAATGGTGTTTCTTTTCTTTTTTTTTATCCCTTCGAGGTTCTGCCCTCACCTTTCTGTCATGGTGAGAAACACACACACACACACTCCTTGTCTCACACAGCAGATTGTAGCCTCACTTGGACAATGAGCTCTATTGTGGGAGCTGTCAAAGAGAAGCCAAGCAGGCCGCTAGGCGTTTGGCTGCCATCGGTGTGTGTGTGTGTGTGTGTGAATATGGGGGATAATAGCGCTACATGCCCAGAGCTGCCATCATTTCACAGGGAACAGAGTGTGAAAGAGAGGAAGAGCTGGTGACACACACATGCACACAGACGCAGCACTGCTATCATCCTGAGCCATATGCTGACCCCAGCCCCAGTGAAGCTATCTCTGCCAATCAACTACTAACGGGGATGTCCCACACGTACATTAATCCTGAGAGCGAAAAGTGTACACAAACACCACCGTGCGCACCAGCATGTGCGGATAGGTGATGTATATTTGAAAGCACACAAACACTTGCTGGCAGGTYGCTCGTCTGTGTTTGTGTAGCGGCTTCGCATCTTTCCAACATTGTTTTCCCAGAAGCACAATCACCCAGAAGCAGATTGAGGACTGCCACGGCTGTCACACAAACACACACATTTTAAACACTAAAACGCAAAATTACACGTGCATCCTTACAGACAAACGATGTAATTTAACAGAAACATCTTTAAAACAGGTGAATGCACACGTTGTATCTGCATTTGCAGAACTCTGATCACAACGGAACAGAAATCTGAAGGACAAAAAAAGAAACGGTGTCACTTTTTTTTATTACTTTTATTATACACGTGTCAAAATTCTGGTCTAGATGCACCTGAAGCCACATTTATTTTAATGAGCCGAACTAAACTATTTTCAGCATTAGCTTTCAGAAGGTCTGCTGCTGCCTGAGGAGTGGTGACACTAATATATCACTCAGCGGGCTGCGCCTTACTTTCATCTGCTCTAATCTGTGAGTTCAGCAGGGTTTACTGATGGTAGTCTGCTACCCCACGCTGACCGCAGAAACGCTGCGGTGCGTGTTTGAGTCATCCGAGGGCACGGGAAGTTCTTAACCTGGTGAAGGCGGCATTTTCATCCCCACGTGAATGCAGAGTGGGGAGTTTTGGATTGCCTCTCTTGCTGCAATGAGCTGATATGTGTGATAGAGCTGTGCTCACACACAGCTGTCCCAGCAGCCTGGCACTCTGAGGGAGAGTGYTGTGTGCTTTTTGGACGGCTCTGGTCATGGTGAATGAAAGATCAGAGGGAAGAGGAAAGGCAGATGGACCGCCCCGAGGGCCAAGAGACAGAGAGAGAGGGAGGGAAGAGGGCAGACAGGAAGAAAAGAGGAGAAAAATGCCAGTTATCATTGACATACTTCACCCCGCCAACCTGCCCTCCATCTCCCCGTTACCCCACTTGTTTTCTGGATCCTCACAACGCAGCACAGTGAAGGACGAGCCATCTCACAGCTTTGTGCAGCACTTGAACGATTTATGCAAAAAGACATTTAAGCCTAACGCGTAATGAGCTATAACCTACAGATATGTCTGCTTAATACTACTGATTATATTTACCTTTAGAGTTACACATCTCTGTTCTTAAATTTAGTAGTTGGTGCACTAAATAAACTTAAGATGCAATTTATTTCAGTGGATTTACAGATACTGAGCTTAAACCTGGTGTTGTAGTAGCTGAGCTTTGTCCGTAACGCATCTTTGTTTAAAACCTTGACATAAACTGATGGAGTCTGTTAGCTAAATATCTCATTTAGCACTGTATAGATGAAAGTAGCACATGATATGCATCGGTTTTTAATGTTTTATATGTTTCTARAGAAGTTTTTAGGTAAATATCCTTTGTTTCTGCTCCCGTTCCTGTTTATTATTTTTTTTATTCAATAACCATTTTTAAAGGATTCTTATGACATCACTGCGAGTTCCTTTTAAGGACAATTAGATGTCACAAACAAGATAATAAGAGAAGAAAGAAGCTGAACGAGGAAAGGAAAATAAACTAATATGAGAGGGATGAAAAACAGACAACATGGACAGAAGGAGAAATATAGAAAAAGATTCACTTAGATAAGAGTCGTACAGTCGGCGGAGGTAATGCAGGGGCAGAATATGGAGAAATGATGAAGAGCACAGAGCGATAAAGAAAATTTAAGAGCACAACAAGGAAGTCAGATATACAAATCCAGGGAGATAAAGTATAAAAAGAAAGAAAAGCAGAAGAGGACAGAAAAATGGAGGGAGAGGTGGTGATGGAGGAGAGGAGTGAGTGTAGCAGAGAGATGGGGAGTCAATAATGACTGATTACTGTAATTCAGCCTGTCAGAGACATCGACCTGCTGCTACCGTCGATCAATACACACCAGGACACTCGCAGACACACACACAAACACTCAGGAATAAGAATTAAAGAGACGTGTGTGTGTGTGTCATCACATGTACACACTCGGTCTGTAAAATCTCACACAAAAAAACATAAAACTGAGCACACACAAGCTCAAACATGACCATCAGGCAGGAACTACAGAAATCTTAGCATTTTGAGGGTTTCTTTTTATCTAAGATTTGATGACTTTATGGAGGAAGGAGATGAGATCAGAAGACAACGGTTGAGAGAAAATTCCAAATAAATGGGAGGAAGTGAAATAAGAAAAACGGGAAAGAGGCAAAGTGAGTAAAGCAGAATAATCTGAGTGGACGGAAGGAACCAGAGAGATGSAGCTGGGTGAAAACAAGATTATAATTCTTACACAATCAGTTCTTGTTTAGTAAATCAGTCTCAAAATAAGATCAAAAAGACTTTTGGCTGGATGTAAGATTTTAAAACTTGGTAAGGTGGACATTTTTTGCAGTGAGAAGGGGTTCACAAACTTGTCTCGACTTTTTAATGTGCCAAAAACTCTTCTTTTTACGTCTTTTCTTAAACATATCCTGCAGACAATTTTACYTTTATTACTTATGATTTAAATTTTGTTTGTGTTCAAATCAATCCTACCTCACATGGTAACAAAATTAACAAACAATGCTTATATTCACAGCTCCATGACGAACATTTAACATATTCTAAGAAAAGCTTATAAGATGGATGGAAACAGGTTTAATGAACTGATCTGTAAATCCATGAATGTGTGAATTCACACAAATTATTGTCGCAGTTATAGAAGTTGTCACAACTGTGCAATCGAGCTTCAACCATTTGAATGCAAAAGAAAGATGTGAAAAAGAAGAGACAGAAGCAGGGACGCTGTCATTATAGGATCAAATAGCTGGAAATTCAATTTAAAGGAATTCTGATTATAATTCAGAGGGTCGTCTCGTATTTACAAGAATCCTTTACTTCACAACTCACTGTCTGTTTAGGCACCTTTTGAAGAAACGCACATTAATCTGCATGGCCTATTGTGAACGCAATCGCATTATTGAACATGTGAGGCGGCAGCGCRTTGCTGTAATCAACGTGCAAGTGTCCGTGTCTGTCTGTGAGACTGCAGAGCAAAGCCTCTCGTTTAGAAACAGACCTATAGAGGAGATCCATCGATAAGTATCGACTTCWGGCTTCTTCAAACCAAACTACCGTCACATCGTATCAAGCAGAGAAACAYGCAAACCTTCCTTTCCTTCCTTTCACACGTTTGATGCTCACACCGATCATCCCAACGTTCTGCTCTAAGCTGTGCACGGTACAAATTCACACTTGATGTTTAGCAACTCTTTCACACTACAGCCAAAACATTGCTTGATGTTGATTTGCTTTTCTTAATCCTCGAGCAGAGCAACAACAATTACAGGAAACGTACAACACAAAACTTAAAAAAGGAAAGCAAAAATCCACAAGGCGGATTGAGGAACATTGAGACAATTAGATTAGAAACAAAAATCAAACAGGATGTTCTAGACCAGGGGTCTGCAACCTGTGGCTCTTTGAAGCTTTGACCAAAGCTAACAAGATAATTGTTTTTAATACCCCCAACAGAAAAGACTAGCTTTAGCAGTTTTCCTGACAATTTGTCTGCAAATATGTGTTCAACAATAATACAAATAAAAGAAGTGATACATGTTTATGAGATCATACATGAACATGATTTTTTCTTTAGTCCTAAAGTGTAAAAATTATCTAACAATGGCCGGAAGTGTCCCCTTCAACAAACTCAAAGTGGCCCACGGGCCACATTTTGACAGAGTTTGGCCCTTGGCTTGGGCYAAGTTTTAAATTTTGGCCCCCCTTKGTTAACTGAGTTTGACACCCCACCGTTCTAGACCTGTGCAAACCTGCTAGTTTTTAATGAGGCCATGGTCAGAAATCTGTCTGCATCTGATGGAGAGGTGTTCCTTTACACAGTACAACTGTCATTAAAAGTAAACCTGCTTTATCATTTTTGTAATATTATTACAAAAGTTTTGTTTAGTTTACAACTGTACAGATACAACATGGGTACTTTACACGTGGTGTAGCTGAGCTCAAATGAGGACCAACTTTTAAGAAAAATCGCCTACCTTCGCACTTATAATCCTCATCTTTGGCATTCTCATTGCTGATGGTTTCAAAGGATACAAGTTCTGGTAGAGAGGAATGAGGGATTTGAGGGCCCGACTTGCATTGATGGCCGTGGCTCGAACCATCGTGGGCAAAATCTTCATGTCCACGATGGCACCGTCAAACAGAGGACCAAAGAACAGCACCTGCAAAAGAAAGTTAACTAAATGTTAGATACTACGAAAAATAAACAAAAACAGAAATATCTTCTGGAGCCTACCAGTCAAATAACAACTGAGACAACAGATTAAAAAAAGATACAATATTCAATTCAGCCAATGGCTTTCTGATTTAATTCAATACTTTGCTTGTGGAATTCACCTAAGAGAATAATAAAGCTCTGATTGAGTTTGTTTGTAGACCAGGTCTCAAAGCCAAGCCCTCTATGGTTGAATACATGGGCTTTCAGGACAACAACAGAAGCRATATCTTATCTAACTTGTTCTTGGATTCTTGATAATCCAATATTTTTCCTTGCAGAATGAATGAAAGAGAATATGATTATGTCATTAGTGCTGTGGTATCTATGTCACAGAGAAAAAAAAGCAGCTTTTTATTGCGTTAGGTCTTGTTTGAAATAGAGTTATGCCATCAGTGCTGCGGCATTAATGTCTGTGTGTTTTAGAACGATACATTAACCAGATCAGAACGACTCGGGGGCAAGACGTTCTCCAGGATCGTTGGTAAATGTGGGCGCATTTCTGTGCGGTCCACATAAATCTATGCAGGAAAACACAAACTCACTCGAACATCAGAAATACTTAGGCACWCTAGAATATAAACACAAAGCTCCAGGTAAAGTTTAACAACTTTTTAGGTTAAAGGTTCTCCCTATAGAACTTTAACATCTAACCCCTGTGGGTGAAACAAAAAGGAACCAAGATGATGAAGCCCCCCCACCAAAAAGACCCAGATTCCTGGGTAAAAAAATTCCTGTGGCTGAAACACATCCTCAGAACCAGGCCACTACAATTACACTGATTGGCCAATGATTTTCACAACAATTACAGCTTCACTAAAGGTGGCTTGTCTAGTTATTACTGATTAGAGCGGTGGGGGATTAATTACCATCCCGGATTTTAAACAACCTGCTGTGTCAGCATGTCTGAGTTTCAGGAKTCTAAGGAAACACTGGCATGTAAAGAGAACTGTACARAAGATTGGAGAAACTGCATTCTTTTGATTGCTTCAACGCTTTTTACCTCTGGCTTTTTGAGTATTTGGATGGAATACATGTGGTTCTTTATGGGGTAGATGATGATCAAAACGTCTCCAAATTCAGTGGGGATGATTCCTCGACGGTAGTCTCTGGAATGTTCTGACCAAATGATGTGGACCTCATCGTTGCCCAGGTGTCTGAGCTGAAGCGAGGGAAGGTGAAGACAAATGGGAAGCAGAAGAATATTAGAATCAAAACAGGAAAAAAAAAGAAAAATAAAAAGCATTTTGCATCAGCCTTATTTGATTCATAAACAAAAAAGGCTTCAAACAAAGAGCTGGACGAGCTGTATCCATCATAACTCAAGGCTTCAGATTCTGTGTGTGTGTGTGTGAGAGAGAGAGAGAGAGAGAGAGAGAGAGGTGCCTGGCCCTGAGTATGATGGAGTGAGTATGAGAAGATGGAGAGTCGACGACATGACAGAGTGAAGCCCTGGAAAGATGAAGTACAAGCTGGAAGACAGATAGGATTGTGTGTAATGCTGAACAGTGGTGTGTGTGTGTGTGTGTGAGGTTCGCATTCACTCAGCAGGTTCCAGTCAGAGCTGGTGACAGCTCAGTCATTAACCTTGATTTCTGCCAACACACACACACACACACACACACACACACAGCTTCCTCACGCTCTTTACTCTTCTGATTTGTCAGACACCTGGTGATGGATGTCAGTCTTGGCCGCAAAGAAACAGAATGTCATTTCCTTTTAAACAAAAGCTAAAAAAAAAAAAACACCCATAAAATCTGTATAAAATCACTGTTGTACACTTCTTACGCGAGTGTGTTGAAGTCTTCATTTTTTAGATTTCGATTCCAAGCAGACAAATTTTCTTGAAAACTTTTAGAATGGACTTCATTCAGGCTTTTAGGCAACTTGGCAAAGAGAATCTTTACTTTTTTAGTGATATTTTTACTAGCAGCGTGAAACAATAATAATCTGGCATTAAAAAATACAATAACAACATTTAGGACCTACAAAATGATCCCAAAACTTTATTAGCTGAAAACCTGGAATATCTTCAGACAATGTTCAGTGTTTGCTAAAACAGAAAAAGAAAGGAAACTGGGCAGAGACGGTCAGAAGAAGTGAGGCTTAAAATAATATTTTCAGCTGATGAAAAGTATGAAAGTTTTATCGCTTAAAGAAAAAAAGAAAAAAAAAAGCACAGAATACTTGAAACAGGACTGGAAAGAGGCATCATCATTTAGCCAAATTTTTAGCCAATACCTCTGAGAGAATCAAATTGTTGGTGTTAAAATTATAATCTTTGTATCCCAAACTATATTACTTTTTGTATTTTCTTAATAAAATAAACAAAAAAATGGGAACAAAGTGCGCCTTTAAGACTGGCTGGTGTTGGTAAAAAAAAATCCAATAAAGTTGGGGCTTTTATGAGTTTTACATGTCAACAACATTGAGTTTAGTCATTTTATCCACTTCAGAGCTGATTTSTTACAACACCACGTTGCAAAAACAGAAATTTGGACAAGAGCCCTGTGAAGGRCTAAACTGATTGTGTTGGTGCAGCAGGATGATAGATGATAAATGTCTGCCAGTATGTACATGTGCTTGTGTGTCACTTTAACCTCTTTACGGAMACATTTGTCAAACTGCATCTGTTTGTGTGTAAACCTGTGTCTGCGTGTCTCTCTGCAGCATTAACACAAATTTATTGCCGAGTGGTTATTTGTGCAGACCGATGTTAATACAACCTTTTGTAAATGTGTGTTAAACAGGTTTAGGTGTGTGTGTGACTATGCATGTGTGACAGGGAGTGGGGGCATCAGCTGATCAGTGAGACGGATGGTGTCGAGCCAGACGCCGGTAATCCAATCAGGAGCCTGAAGCCATGTGATAGGCCAAGAAGCAGGAAGTATGATCTGATTAAAAGGACATTACGGCCATGTGCAGGGCACCCAGTGCCCGAGGGTTGACAGGTGTGATTACACACAAACGCAGATATAGACACATACAATAAAAACTGCACGTCTAGACACTGATACAAGCCCCCCAACATGCACAAATACACWCGACTGCTGCATGAGCTGCAATACAGGCTGTTACAGCAGCTGCAGTGAGACTCTTTAGAGATATGAACATAATAAAGAAAATCTATATTTGTATTTATCACAAAGACACAACGCTAGTTTGTTTCTAAAATATATTCCTGTGACACACGAATGCTCCTGGAACGTTATGTCAGCACGGCGCCGGTGTTGGTTTGTTACCTTCTTAGTGAGGTTTTGGTCCTGGTCGTGAGGCATGCGTGTTGACACGTGGTAGATGACTTCAGTGGTGGAGGTGGCGTAGTAAGGCGTCGTCTGACCCGTGCTGCGATTTCTCTGAAGGCCTCCCATGAAGCCACAGTGGGTGGTGAGRTCCACCTAAAGCACACACGCGGGGRATAAGTTAGAAAAACACGGACCACCTTTAAGGCCTTTTAGGCACCAATTCAGTTCAGACTGTCCTAAAATTCTAAATTTAAATTTATTGTGATAAAAAATATTCTGTGCACAGTTGTTTTTTTCTGCACAGTGCGGCACATTTCAATAATAGAAAAGTTAGGTAAGAGGGGTGATTTTAATGTAGTCACATCAAGGTCAAGAATATTTTAGTCTTACCATTTGAACATTTTATTGCAACAAACATGACCAATTAAAATACTACACCTCAGTTTTTATGGCTTTTAGCAGATTTTCTTGTTTTATGCTCATTTTTGTTGTCGGGAATTAAAAAATTAGACCAATAAAGGATGACCTAACAGCGCATGAATGGAGATGCCTGATTCAAAATATAACAAAAWTATTAGCTACATTTACTTAACTCATAAATAAATAATAAATCTATAATATTCAATACAATAAAATGTTACTATCTTTAACAAGTTTAACTATTTTTATTATTGAATTGGGGTAAGTACATTTAATTCAACAAACTCCCAAAGTAAAGACAAAAAAATAAAAGTATGTGAGCAACTTTAATCTTACCTCCCAGCCGAGTCCTGACACGAAGTCTTCATAAGCCTGGCTGCCTGCTGTGTTTGTTAATATGGAGTGTTTATCTTCCTGACCTTCAGCCACGTAAAATACTGCTATTTTGTGTGTCTCACGGCTGAAAGGCAAAAACACAGAATAAGAATGGCTCGCGTGGCAACAACAGAGAGTTGAAACACCAGCGCTCAGAAACGAATAATTTAAAAGTTGGAGTGGAACGGAGAACGCAGCGRCGGATAAAAGCGCTCACCACTGACGTGAGTCCAGGTTCTTCAGCTCTCTCAGTAATTTCTCATTYTTCCTCAGCAAGTGAAAGTTACTCCTGTAAGACACAGGTGATCAAATCATCACTTTGTGTATTTAAATCCTATATCTGCTAATCTACTCCCAAATATGAAGATGGAGACACTAACAGGTGAATAATAGGTGCTGACTTCTGGAAGGCTATGGAGCCAATCACAAGCCTCAAAATTTTGTAAAATCCACAAACATTTGTCTAAATCTACATTAGCAAACTGGAAGGTATCTAAAGCCATGAGAGTTCATTAGAAACAAAAATAACAGGTTAGTTTTTGTTGTTAAGTCAAGTAATTAGGTTTCTTCTTTTCATTCTTTATCTCAAATCAAGTTTATTTATAAAGAATTTTAAAACAGCGGCTGCTGACACAAAGTGCTGTACATAGAGGGTCAAAAACAATAAAACAAATCAACACAAATAACACTAAATAGCAATAAAAACAAGCAAAAAACAAGCCAGTGAATAAAAACAAGTTTTAAGATTTATTTTAAAAACAAGCAACGAGGAAGCCTGCCWAATGTGTGGGGTAGCTCATTCCAGAGCTTCAGAGCAGCAACTGAAAATGCTCGATCCCCTCTGAGGGTTCGCTTTAGTCCTTCGTACTTTAAGGTACAACTGATCAACTGACCGGAGATACCGTGCAGGGGTGTAGGGGTGGAGAAGCTCGGAGAGGTATGGTGGGGCATGGCCTTGTAAAGATTTAAAAACAAACAAAAAAAAACTTAAAAACAAACTCTAAAATGCACAGGCAGCCAGTGGAGGGAAGTCAGAATAGGTGTAGTGTAAATGAGCAGCAGCATTCTGAACCAACTGGAGCTGTGCAACGGAGGACTGGCTAACTCCAAAATAAAGTGCATTACAGTAATGGAGCCGAGAGGTGATGAAGGCAAGGATTACTGCTTCAAAGTGCTGGTGTGAAAGAAAAGGCTTCACCAGAGCTCCTACAGTTTAAGACATTTTAATGCCAAGTGAAATTAATTTTAAGACCAATTTCATAATAAACACAAATGACAAAAAAATAAAGACTGTGGCAGAAACTCCTGAATCAAAGTATTTTTGGTTGAAGTATTCAGATATTGCTAATAGACCAATTGTTTTTATCCATATTTAACTGCTTTTTTATCAACTATAGCAGAAACATTGTTAGCAGTCAGTTTTAAACTTAATTTAATTTCTGGAAATTCTCTAACAACCCAAACCCTTAGGACCCACAGTGGRGTCTTAACCCCAATTTTCTGAAGATGAAACCTTAAAGTGCCTGTGACACCAATTTTTTTGTATGAAAACTGAATGCATTTTTGGAAAGACAACATTATTAACATATTACAAAACAAATTTCACATTGCTCAGATGAACAGTTATTGAGATATTTGCATGTGAAATAACAGGAAGTGATGTCAAAGGGAATGTCTGCATGTGATATTTAAAAAAATAAATGTTACCAATTATTTTAATATTTTAGGTGAATTACAATCATCCTATTTACAATTTTTAACATTTTTAAGACTTCTGAAAGATTGATTAAAGACATTTTAAGGTTAATTAAAGCCTTATTTTTGGATTGATGAATTCAATGACTTTTAAGACTTTTTAAGGATGTGCACTATATGTTCTGTGAGTTGTTTGAATGATGGGGTGGGTGTAGTATTTCTTCTGGGATGGG